AAAGCATCTGCTTAGTCGCTGAATTAAGGTGCTGAGGAGAAGACTCTAGGTCTCAAGTCTAGTTTACGCTGCCATGAATACCTCTGTTTTGTTACCATGTCGCTGCAATTAACAAACCAGAAATACATTTAAAAAAATTAAAAAACACCTGTGTCTGAATGGTATCAATGCCAGTCTGGCATCTTTCATCGTATGTGGAATCCCCACAAACATCTCTTGTGGGCACAGAAAAGCTGTTGTCAGATTTGTGAAAGAAAGCTTCTAATAAGAATTGTAAAAACAAGTATATGTAATTTTCTTGCTGATATGTATAACAGGACGATGTGCTCAGAAGGATATGTTTGAAAATCCAGAGCGTTCTGTTTTATGAAGTGACCTTTCTGAGCTGTTTTAGACATTGGGATTGTTTTATTCATTTGAGATTTCAGGGTGTCCTTGTCTTTTGCCAGAACAGTGGTGCAGTGCATTGTGTTGTGTCCTTGACCACGCCCCAGAGTCTGCCTCCTGCGATGGATGTTGCTGGACGCTATAATGTGCAAAGACTGCAGAAATCCCAGGCGTGTGCAATGGGGGGCAGGGCAGGGGAAGAGAGGGGGGTGGGGCGCTGCCGCATTGTACCACGTCTCTGTGTCCAAGTTTTAGGTTTCTTTTTGCGCAAGCAAAAAAAAAAAAGAAATGGAAGCGGATCAATCCCCGGCGCCTCCTACTGTCGGACGTTTAGGAACGCAAAGCTCTGTTCTGCTGCATTGAAACTGAAACCCACACCAGTAGAAGGGGCTGTTCTGCGGTCCCGTTGTAGTTTCACTTTACAAATCAGGCCTTTTTTAAAGGGGTCCTCTGGTGATAATATTTGGATTACTGGACTATTGGGTTGGGGTTTATGGTTGTATTATCGTAAGAACTTAAAAAAATCGGTTTCCTGTATTACATTTCATTAAGCAGATGTAATAAACAAAATAAAATAAAAAATTACGTCTATTGCTATGACATTTAGTACAACTGTCTATGTGGTTCTTTAAATGAAGTGAAAACCACCAGATTGGGAAGCTGCTTCTGTCTTTCCGTGTTGTTTAAGAGGATGGAATGAGCCATGGAGAGCTGCTGCTATGGCCAGGATCAATCTGAAAAGGGCAAGTTCTCCCTTCAGAACACCATGCTTGCTTCTGAAAGGGGTTCTCTTATTTGGCTCTCCCTGTCCCTGTCATGAGCTTCTCCACATAGTGCAGCACAGGACTGGGGGTGGAATTTGATCTATGATCAGCTTGCGATGAATGAGTTTTGCAAGGATGAGTAAAGTGTGCCTTAATTTTAAACCAAAGTTTGTGTTTTTGCTGCTGCGAATAAATGTCAATGTCAATGTCAATGGTTAATCATATAAGTTGATGGTACCATTTGTTTGACATTTATTTGCTTTGATACAACATTATTTTGCTGTTTTTGAACCTCAAGGATGTCATCATCCCCCGAGTTATGCCTTGTGTTTTGAAGTCCATAATTGAAGAAAAGCAAATAATTAAATTTTGAGAAACAAAAATAAATCAATTACATGGTCAAACAATGGCCTTCGTGTTTGTGAAAGATGGTTTAGAGCACGCAGATGAAATCATATTTAGCCAGAAATGTTTCATACATGATGGGATCTGTGACCTTTAAAATCATAACTTAAATTCAGATTTAAATGTTAACTCAGTTTTCCTGTCAATGGCAAGATGGAGTTAAGGAGCCCACAGGCTTCATGTCTTCTCATTTTTAAGGATTGGCATCCAAGTCACGTTTCATTTACAACTGAATGGAAAAGAGGGGCCATAAACATCTATGTGACCACGGGAAAGTTTTTAGAAATGTCAGCTCCTGCAAAGCAGGCTGTTAATGGCGCAATTTGTATGTGCAATCACACGCCTGGTCTTGCGACACTTGTGAAGTCCGCAGCATGGCTTTTGGGACGCCTGTCACTTTTATTGCATTTTGTTTCCCCCTTTTCCTCCCCTGATACTCATTCTGGGCCCCTAATCGGAGAGACACCAATATAAAGGGGGAGGATGATGCATGTCTCACGTCAAGCGATCCCACTTGTTTATTGCAAATGCTGTTTGGTTTTTTTGGTTTGTTTTCCCCTCCCCTGGTAGGCGCTCTGATTGCTCCCTGCCTATTCGTTTTGCCCTAAAGCAACAGAAGCCCGTCCAAGTTCTGACGTGCTTTCTGCCACAGCTGCATTTCTGTGATGCGTAAGATCTCCTGATGCCAGCACTGTGACGTGTAGCTGAGGCAGAGGCATCAGAAAAAGTGCTTATTTAAATTGTTTGAGCTGTCCCCTGCAGTAAGGGCGAACAGGTAGCGGCAAGGCGGACTTTAGAGACACACGCAGAGCCTCGCAGCTCAGGCTATCGATCCTGTAGGGAATCTCATCTCCGTTTCACGGTGCAGGAGAGGGGAAATGCGTCTCCACGTGTCCAGAACTGACAGAAACTTCAGAGGTGAGCCTCCAAGCCATGAAGCTCTTTAGTGGGATATACAGAGATATCTGACAAAAGTATTTGAAGAGCAGTTAAGCTTTTTAGTGTTAATTACTTAAATGTTTTGTGTCTTGCTACTTGCCGAGAGATGAATTGGCACATTGTCCTGGGTTATTCCGTATGTGGCGCCCGTAGTTTCCGGGATAGGCACCGGACCCCCACGACCCTTCATGGGACTTGCGGGTATGGAAAATGTATGGATGGATGTCTTGGTACTTATTGTATGAATTAATGTAATGTATTACTCTATGTATCGCTTTATTTAAAGTAGTATTGTTAGTGTTCTCTGCCGTCCCTGGCTGTACAAGTTTCTTAATGTTCTTAATGTCTTAATGTTTCCGCTGAAACTGACTAAAGCAATTACTCAGGATTTGTATAGCTGATTACTAATAGTACAACCTTTTTGATGAAGGTGAATATCTTTCATTATGGAAAGAGTCATCGTGGTGATAATTTTCTAAGGTATATAGAATCAGGTGCCTCGCTTTTTGTTTGTTGATTATTTATTTATTTATTTTTTATTATTATTATAATGATTATTTTTGGATTTGGAGAGTGAGTAGCATACCTCAGCCGTCCGGGCTGTCAGAGTAATGTCCTCTTATCCAGTACAGACAATAGATGCAGCCTCCATGCAGCTGATCCTCGCATTGGAAAAGATAACCTTGTAGCCAGACCAGACATGGGCGTTTGGGAGTGCTGGAATGGTCCAGCCAGAAGGATGACAGTGAAGAGGATGATGATGATGATGATGATGATGATGATGATAATGAAGATGATGATCTCCCCCCCCCCCCCTTGCAGCAGTCACCAGCACCACACCTCCCGTGAGGACCTCGAGCCATGAGAAATACTGCCCCGAGAGTCAGAAGAACTACTGTGTGAATGGAGGGACATGTTTCACCATCCAAGTCACTCCTGGCACCAACAAACTCCTGTGCAGGTAGGACATGTTGACCGTCTCCCTCCGGCACGGACTACGTGGCTGGAAGGTGTTGCCAGGATGATCAGAATACAGCTGCCTTTAGGCTAAGCTGTAGCATAGTTAGTAATCAGTATTGGTCGTCTGAGTACTAACATTTATATAATATTCAGTGCCCACAGGGGTGTTTAATGTTTCCCCTTCACTTCAAATTTGTGCCATTTTATGTATTTATTTGTAACTTTTAAGAGCTCAGAATTCATCTTTTTTAATACAAGGATGTTGTTTGGATTCTATGGCTGCCTACATCATTTCACTTTTTGGGTGGAAAAACAGGGCAGAGGTACAGGCTGCACTCTGTTTAAAGTGCAGGCATCAGCTGAGGGTTTATGGTAAATTATTACACTGCGAAATGCCGGCAGGAAGAATAAAGGAGCGAATGCGGAACCTCAGTCACATGGGCAAGGGCCCCCCGTATTTTGATGCCGAGCCGTGCCAGACCTGCCAGATTAATGTTTACGCGCTGAGTCTCTCAGAAGATGCTGTATTAATGGTCCAGACCGCACTCGACAGTCACCACCCCCATTATGCTAAAACTTTCCTTATTCCAGCACCTCTTAATATGACAACCTGGGGCTTGTTATTAAACCTTAAACAGAGAATGTGAAGCTACCTTGATGGCAGATGGCGCAGTGAGGCTTTAATGTGCTTTCCCAGCGCTCAGAGAGGCTGCTGTGCGGCTGAAGGGCACATTTTCAGAGCTCGTTCTCCCTGCCCAGCACTGTGTGCCATAATGCAGTCAGTGATCAGGTATCAAGTAGCAAATGTCAGCAAATTTTTTGCTCAGTTGCAATTTACACAATTTTCTTTTGGTAGCATTTAAGGTGGAGTTGAAAGAAGGAATATTAAACATTACATTTTGTGCTATAGCAAAGATGAAAAAATCTTGAATTCTTTGCAAGTGTGTTTGTACATGTGGGGCAGAACGTGGCATTGTGGGCTAGGAATCTGTGTCTGTGTCTGCAAGGTCGCTGGCTTGAATCCTGTACCTGGCAGAGTAATATCCTTGATGGGCCCTTTAGCAAGACCCATAACCCTGAAAGTTGCTCCAAGGGTGCCAGATAAATGGCTGACCCTGCTCTCTGACCCCAGTGTGTCTCAGAGGAGAGCTAGAAGAGAAATTTGAAAGTGACAGATTCCCATGTGCCTGTACGAATGTTAAATATGTGTATCATTATTACTCAATTCCTGTACTAATTTACTTATGAATACAGCTGTTTTCCTTCCATCAGTTGTGATCTTTGAGCAAAGACAGTGTGATAAGAACAGTGCATCACAAAGGAAATGGAAAATGATGTACGGGTCGGTAGACTATGTAACTCAGTGCAGCTTCTAAAGCTTTCCGCCTCCCTTCAGCAGCAGCTGCAGTGCCGTCCGGCTGATCGCTCAGTTTTTGAGATTTGGGAGACCTCCAATGCAAACACAGGAGAGGGCTGCGGGTCCTTGGTGCCGCTTGCTTTAAGCACCTGGCGCGGATACGGACTGGCCCTGGCAGCCGTCCACCGGACGCATAAGAGGAGCTGCTTACCATCCACCAAGGAATCACATTTCACCTTCAATACTTCAGTGACTAAGCAGAAAACATCCTGCTGTCTCCAAAGGCTTCATTCTCCTTTGCCTATGCCTGTAGATCTTGCTGTGATGGGTTATCAGAACTAAGCCTGCGCAAATGGCCCATCTGCCCCGTATCCTCCTGAGAACAGGGATTTCTGAGGTTCTTTGACCCAGTTCCTCTAACAGAGGCAGGAAGGGGAATCGGTACCCCAGCTGTACATAGGAAGTGGGCATCTTTTAGCTTATCAGAAGCTTAATGGTATTTCAGTGATTATGAATATAACGTTCATGTAAACAGAAATCATTCCAGTATACCTGGATCTAAATGTATTCTTTCAGAACAATGTTAATGTAAATATGTTAATTAACACATATCTTGCATGAGTATTAAAAATGATTAATCGGTGATATGATTAACCAAGCCCTGTAGTCCCAAATGAAGTACAGAGTATACATGTATGTGTACTGTACAGGTATGTAACACTTCCTTACTAAGGCAGCAAATCAGGCCAGGGTCTGTTCGTACGTGATTCCTAGTGGAATGGCGAGTAAACAGTCGGGACAGAGAGAAGGGAGACAGACATTTCAACTGAAGTGATGTTCCATTCTTCTCTGTCTGGGGCTCAGCTAGCAGCATCCAACTAGCCCTACATCTGTGAGGGTACAGGGACATCTCTCATGCCAAAATATCCACCTAAGGATGGCTTCACCCCACCCTGCTGTCATCTGCCACCTGATAGCCTGATGAAAGACGAGCATTGGAACAACTCAATCTTGGCCTAAGACCTTCATTCCAGACTATTTTTAATTCCTTCCTTATTATGGAAAGTCTTGTGTAATCCTGAAATGGTTGTATGGGCTTCAGGCAGCGATAGGTGCTGAATGTCAGGATAATTCATCGCATCTGCATGGTTGACAGTCTGCCACAGTGGTGGAGACTATCTAATGGGTGACTAAGTGGACCATAAACATGAATATCCACACTTGTGTTCGGCACTCTGTCTGACTGAGGTAGCCTTATAAATGAAAAATGAATGACTCTGCAGCAATGCACCATTTCTTTGCAGTGTTTCCACCGTGACCTGAAAAAAAGGTCATTAACCTCACAGGTGACAATGGATTTTAGTGCTCCAGTAAGGAATTATACCGACAAAATGACAAATACAAATTCCTGGCAGAAACCCATGTCACATATCTGCTTGGCCATTGTGTACAACTATATGTCTAGCTGGATTGGAGGGACTCACTGTAACATACGGCAGTGTCTCTTATTACGTGGAAATAGCCATAATTAGTGAATCAACCAGACAAATAGCCAGGAAGTCGAAGACAAATTATCACTGGCTTTTTGAAAGCTCATGCGGCACACACATAAGAGCATAATCACCAGTGAGACTTTATCACCTGTTTTCAGCAAACAAGTTTGTGTTTTGTACTAAGCCTTGCTTTAACCTGTTTGCTGAATTCAGGTCGGAAGTGGGTTGTTATGTTTTCAGTCAAGTCATGAAGAAATTGAAGCAGAACGTACAGATATACAATAAGGGCCTTTTTCTGATCACTGTGCTGAGAAGGTGTTTTGCATGATTTGTATTGTCAGTACTGTGTATTTATTCCATTTTTGCCCCTTAGGTGCTTACCAGGATTCAGTGGGAATCGATGTCAAGACATTGTGCCCATGAAAGTCATGAACCAAAAACGTATGTGCATTTACTGAACCAAACCGCACGTGTCATCTCTGGTGTTTAATCCCTCTTTCGAAGTTCCAATCACTGTCTCCTCCCAAGGGTTCATTCAGACCCAGATAGCTGATTCATCCGTACACACCTGTGGATTCACTCTGTGTGTGTTTTTGTGTGTGTGTGTGTGTGTGTGTGTGGGTGGGAGTGTGTTTGCGTGAAACCTAGGAGGAGTCCAAAAGATGAATCGGCAAAACGGCCATTTTCATTGGGCATCACAACCCCCAAACATCCCCTGTGTGCCGTTGTCTAAATAATCATAAGGGTCGGTTTAAAGATTCCGACTCAACAATTTGCTGCTGCGTTGTGGCCTGCTCCATCCTAATCCATTTTAATTCCAAATAACAGCGGAATTCACACGCTAACAGGGCTGTTTAGACACTGATTGGCACTTATTTCAAGTAAGTATGTTTTAACAAACATGAGAGCGTGATGTTTGTAAGACATTCTTGTTCCTTGACAGCCTGACACCAGCGATGCACGTGGGTATATGATGGACTCTGGTGTAAACTCACTCTTTTCTTTCTTCTCTTCCCTTCTCTTCTCTCTGTGACTTTTTTGTTTCCCTCTCAGGTGCCCAAATGAATTTGCTGGTGATCGCTGCCAAAACTACGTAATGGCCAGCTTTTACAGTACGTCTGTCACCTCTTCCTGTCTCTGCTTGGACTGGAGCATGCTCAATCAACACTACTTCCTGTTCCTTCATTTTCTCCTCAGATTGCAGGCAGATGAGGTTTTATGTGTGTTTTTTATTGTGTTGTGTGTCTTTCCCATACTTGTTCCTCGCATGTTCAGACTTTTTGCTTTCGTATTTAAGTTCCAGTTATCAGCTATAGCTCCATAAACTTAAAGTAGCCTCCAGGGACTGTTTGAATTTGGGAAGATTCTTATCATCTAGTGGTAGCCTGTTAATACAACCTGCTAAATACTTAGTTCGCTTTGCTTAAGAATTTCTATTTTGTGATGAAGCAAGCTGTCAGAACACGACAGTGGACAGTAAGACAGGACAACTGCACTGCAGGACTCTATAAACCCAATATGTACTATTAACCTTTGGTTTAACATTTAACAGAAAATGAATTAACATGCTGGTCCAGTATCTGTGTAATATTTATTTCTCCCCCCGTTTGATTAGTGAAAGATAACTAACAGAGCAACAGATTAAATAGCTTAATCGCAATCAGCTGTTTGTGACCCATCACGATTTATCTCGGTACAGCATTCCAGTTAATATTTATTTCAGGGCTAATGTATGAGACAAGGAGAAGACCTGGAAGGATAAACACCAGGGCTAGGTGTATTTTTAGCCTCTGCTGCAGCACAAGCCATTGGGAATCTGTTACTCTCAGCCCTCGTTAACCACGGGGCTGTGGAGGTGGAACCGGGCCATCAGTAGGAAAGGAGACCCTTCTGCAGGATGGAGAACCGGGATTCCGGGATGTAGACTGAGAAAAAGCATAGAAGTGTCCTTGACAATACAGAGGAATGTTATTCACGGTAAAGGGCAAGCAGAGATGCTCCTTATTTCCCATGATGCATTTCTGCCAAAGTGGAACAGCTTGCATGCTTTGGGAATGAGGCCCAGGTCGCAGGGAACACTGAGGTGGGCTCGTTAGCAGCAGCTGGGATGTGCTGAGCTGGCCTGTCTTCCTCACTGCAGCGGGAATGCCTCGCAGACAGGGACTGTCACATGCTTCAGGGCTCAGGGGTAGCCAGCAGTCGGCGTTAATGTCACAGAAGTCTGTTCAAAGCATCAGCTCCTTCGATGGCCTGTTTCTGCAAGCTGCCGCAGATTATAAGTCTGTCATTTGACACAGTGCCAGCTTGCAGGAGTAAATAGTAGGCGTCAGCATGGACTGAGGGACAACCTGTGACCTCACAAAAATGTCTCCCTCAGCTGGGTTGTTGGTACCTGTTTCCTAAACAACAGGGCACAAAAAGACAAGCTTCACAGTCAGATGGGATTTTGACATTTACTGAAAGTGATTACAAAACCAGTTACCACTCTTTCAGTCATTATTATTCATTACATGCAGCGCTTGACACAGCCAATTCTATTGATTTGTTCCCATTAGTTTTGATCTGTGCAGGTCTAATTCGAATAGTACTGATTTGCCTGCTCTTTAAGGAAGAGAAGAGGGGAAAAGCTGATTGCTTTCTGTTGTCGAAGAGATGCTCTCAAAATTTAATCAGATGTTTTTCTGCAGTCACCTAAACTGGAGAAGCGTGTTCTATTTTTTTTTTAAGAGTTGGCGTGTTCTCTTTGCCAGCCAAAATCAATATAATAAACCCAACTGGAAAGGAAATTTCCACTGCGCTGTCAGCTACCATTGACATCCATTCCAATCATTTCTGCGGTCTGGTGGCAGTTTCTTTGTTTTTTTGGAGATTTTGTTCATTTGGCCATAACTTTTTGCAACAGCTGATTTGTGTTTGAGATATACTCTTGGAGAATTTTAATATCTAATATGGTTTTCACACTCATAGAACTCTTGGCTACCCTGAGATTTAATGATTATTTGGTTGGCAGGATCAGTATGAGTGAAATCTTGGATGTCAAATTTAGGGTAATTTTGGTTTTGTTATTTGAATTATGCCCTCCAGTGCAGAACAAAGTAGAAAAATATTGTATTTTCGCTGTGTGTTCCATCAATTCAGAAAAAAGTAAGTAAAAACACAGGTGTGCAGTCAGTACTTTCCTACAGTATAAGGAAGGTATTTTGGTTCTGATTAGTTAAATCATTGGTGAAATCTCTTTTCTCGTTGAATCATGCTAATATTTGGTACAGTATATGTGTTCCTGAATCCAAGGGACACCCATGCCATCAAAGTATTTTAAACTTTTTATTATTATTAAGCTACTTTTTAACCGTACACATAGTAACCTTTCCTTTCACAACAAATTAAAAACTGCTGTATATACTTCAGTGTCCTGGAGTGAACTATACCGTGAGCAGTAGCTCTCACAGTAATCTTAGCCTGAGAGAATCATCGCTGCCAGCTGGTTTGCTCCACGGTATTAATTAACAAATGGAGAAACTCACTTTATTTACTTGATTTTTCTCCTACTGGAAATAATCAGCATGTGTGTTTGGGTGCTAAGCTGTAACATGTAGCATATTTTAACAACTGCGGTAAGCGTGGAGAGCTTCAATGCACGATTCATCGCAGCATGACAATCAATGGAGACCCATCTTATTGTAATAACATGGACACTAAATCTGCCTGATGTTTCGAATTTAGTCTGATAGATGCAGACAGTTTGCATGCGCATGCTGCAGTATTTACATCTTTAATGAGTTCATATGATTGAATACAGTAAAATTGCTGTATTTGTACTGCTGGTGTTTCCTGATAGAAGAACATCACCTTTTCACTGGGTATTTGACAAGGATTGTGTTAGAAATCCTCTAAAATGTATAGTTGAAAATCATGTGTAATATTTATCATTTTGAAATGTAGTTATTTATATTTGCAGTGGTATTTCCCTCAGCACATTCAGAGGAAACTGATTAGATTGTGTATACATGTGTAAGTGACTGTGTTCATGAACTCTTCAACTCCTTTTTCTTTCTGTGTTGTCAACTTTCTGTGTTGGCAGAGCATCTTGGGATTGAATTTATGGGTATGGACTGCTCATTCTTCCTAGTTTGCAGATCTAGGCTTCCTGGAAGCTTCAGCCTGTCCTTCAACTCCAGTCAGTTTTTTTGTGCAAATGAAGGGATCATACAGCCATAACGTGTTCCATCTCACATGTGGCCAGCAGTGGAAACACCTGACATCCATGTTACGGTGTCAATGTGACGCACCGCTGTAGATCCGGTACATCATCTATAAACATAATGCTGGCTTTAATGAGGACTGTGAACAACTTGTTCAATTATTTATGGCCAGAAGACCAGACGAGCACCATAAAAGCAGTAGCTTGCAATCACATGTGTTCACATCCAGATCGAAGCCAATATGAGGTCATAAAATATACATAGATAGCGATAGAGCTCTACATATCCTGTATTTACAGTAATAATGCTGTGTTCAACAAAATGCACTTTCTGAGTCTCCATGAAGTCTTAGTGGTTATGCTGTATGGAAAGATCCCTTCAGACTGCTTCTGCTTTGCTTCCCTCCCCCCGCATGCTGTGTCAGTCACACAGCTCCTCCATTCATCTCCTCCTCTCTCCTCCCATCTCTCAATTCTCTCAATCACCGTCTGAGCTGAGTGATTTCCGGTCTCCATCATCTTCCACGTCTTCCCTTACATGTTTCCATTATCGGCCCCCGACAGATGGCAGCAGTGTCGCCACCATCATCCCTTGTAGATGGCCCCTGTGCCTGTACATGCTTGGTCAATAACCGTTTTTTAAATTAATTTCTTTAAAATGTGATTTGTTCACAAGGTGCATGAGACTGGCATGTATATATGTATGCATGCATGCATGCATGTATGTGTGTGTGTGTGTGTGGGTGGCTTTGTATTTACCACATTGTGGGGACCAGAAGTCCCCACAATGTAGTAAAACCTGTAACGTTTTAGGTTTTGAGGACATTTTTAAACCTCAGTTTTATAAAAAAAAATTGTGAATACAATCAAAAACTAAAATAACCAAAGTCTTGTTTGGATAGTTATGATTATGACCAGGACTGGGTAAAGGTTAGGATTATCGTAGTTAGTTAGGGTTATGCCCATAGAAATGAATAGAGTCCCCACAATGATAGGAATATATGAAGTGTGTGTGTGTGTGTGTGTGTGTGTGTGTGTGTGGTTGTACAGGGAGAGGTGGGTGAGAGCTTAAAAAGCTATTTATTAAAACTAATAAAAATTATAATTCTAGATCAATTACAATACTCTTGTGAACAAATCCATTACTATGCAATGTGTCATACTATGTGTGTTAATCTCTTTACTATGTGTATTTTCTGAATGATGATTTGTAGAGATTGTATGTTCATAATGCGATTTCTTTGGAGCAGTAGTGTTCGCAGTAGCTACACAATGGTGCACTTCATTGTGTGCGTTTTGTGTTACTAACTTGACTGCATCGTGACTATTGGGACCACCTCTAATCTTAAAGCACCACAGCAAATGGGTGTCACCAAAACAGAAACACTGGTTCTATCAGTTTTATTTACTGTTAAGCTAACAGAGTTTTAATTAAATGTCATGCAACACTACACTGCTCTAAATGCTGCCTACGTGGACTGATTGGTTTGTGTCCAGCAATGCTAATATTTTTGTTGCAGCAGGCCTGCCTGCTCACTGTAAAGCACAATGGGGTGTTTTGAATACGCTGTGTTGCCTTCCAGAAGCAGAGGAGCTGTACCAGAAGCGTGTGTTAACCATAACAGGAATCTGCATCGCTCTTCTTGTAGTCGGCATCATGTGTGTCGTCGCCTACTGCAAAACAAAGTAATTCACTTTTTCAAGTTTGTCATCTCCCTCTTATTTTTGTTGCTGTGCCTGCTGTGCATTTTGTCTCTAATAACAGTAATTGCTGGGCTTTCCATTCAGCCGCAGGTTTTGCCTGCTTTGCCAAACAGCTGAATTGATCTTCGCGATGTTGCCTTTCTCCTCCCATCCAGGAAGCAAAGGAAGAAGCTGCAGGATCGGCTGAGGCAGAGTGTGCGGAATGAACGGAGCGCCATGCCCGGCATGGCCAATGGCCCACAGATGCACAGCCAGGCACCCGAGAGCATTCAGCTGGCTAACGTAAGAGCCCTCCCACGCTGCAGGGCGGCGCTCACGCCTCCCCAATCAGCCACGTGCACCTTCAAGTGCCTTTCATCTTCTCTGAAATAAACTGCATAATAACTGGTTTTATTAAGCCGCATTATGCAAAATGGTTACAATTAAGTTGTTAAAAGTGATACATTAATTAAGGAGAATCTAATTAAGGGCTTAAACTAAAAGCTAAATTATAAGTGTAAAATGTTATACTTATATATTTATTTTGTGGTGTTTGAAGTAAACTTATTTAATTGTAGAGTGTATTCAAAAAGTTTTGAAATTGAATAAAATATTAATAATTATCAAATTATTTTAAATGTTATGCAACGTATTTGTACTACACATGGGTATAGCTTGATATCCTAAATTCCGACCACTGATCGTTACTGTCTCAGGTAAGGATCTCCAGGAACAGAGATGCAGCACTGATTGCATGATCCTTCTCCTAAGAAGAAATGCGTCACACTCTGCTTTGACATTATTTAAAATGCATTAACATCACTTTGTCACAAACTCTTCCCTGTCTTTCTTTCTTTCTTTAGCAATATGCCTCAAAAAACCCCATTCCAGCAGAACATACCATCGAGAAGGAGACGTCCTTTTCTGCGAGCCAGTACACCTCCTCAGCACAGAACTCCACTGCTGTGACTCATAGCTGCAGCCAGAGGTGAATGTCTGAAAGGGCTGCTTGCACTTCCATTTGCTCTCTCGATTTGGGAAAGCTTGTGATATGATGCTGCTGTACCTTTGATCTGTTGATTTTCACTTTCAGTAGAAAATTTTGAGTCTTTAAGGTAAGTAACAACAGAAAACTAGATCAGAATGAGAGCACACTTTAAAAGGGAAGCAATTACAGGGTACTACACATGAGCTATTACAGGGTTAGGATTATAGTAGGAAAAAACAATAAACCAGTAGACAGAAGGGACACACTAGGATGCTCATCGGGCCAAGTTCACCCCTGTTGTGCCTCTCTACACGGTATAATATGGGCCCGAGTTCACCTCTGGTGTGCCTCTCTACACGGTGTAATATGGGCCCGAGTTCACCTCTGGTGTACCTCTCTACACGGTGTAATATGGGGCCGAGTTCACCCCTCTTGGGCCACTACACGTTGCCGGGCAGCATGGGTGTGATGTGTGTGATGGTCCATGTGCTCAGATCTACAGTACCTCATTGAACAGATGCACCCATCTTCCCCCGCAGCTGGAGCAATGGGCGTGGCGAAGGCGTCCTCTCAGACAGCCGGTCCGGCCCAGTGGCCTCCTCCATGGAGAACAGCCGGAACATCACCCCTGGAAGCCGCCGAGGACGGCTGAACGCAACCGGCTGTGCCCGTGACCTGAACGTGGCCTATCTAAATAACCCCAGAGAGACTCCCGACTCCTATAAGGACTCTCCATACAGTGAAAGGTACGACCCTAGTGGCCACCTCTATGGGGACGCCATTCTGGCTTACTTTAGTGGTGTGCATGTTTTACTAGAATCACAGCATTATATGGAAACAAAATGACCGAAATTTTAAAGAATCTGGTCATCAGTGCTCAAGTGGTAAAAGTGGTTCACAAAGGCAATGTGTCATATAGCTTTTCCTTCATTTAAATTGTTTAATTTCAAACTCATAAGAATAATATACTTAAAGTATTTAGTATTTATATGCAAATGAAATTTGCTAGTAGCAAGGACAGTTGATTCATCTGGTCTCACTAAAATGATTTTACTGCAGTTACTGCTGTGTTAAATCATTTTCATTAAATGCTGCCTTTTGTTCAAAGGATCATATATCATTAGGCACTGTGGACTTTGACATTATGCTGATTGACCATGTGTCCATCTGTCTTCCAACCTCTTATCCTGGACATGGCTTATTTGTAATATTATCCTATATAATTTTCCTATAAATGCAGAGCAGATATTACTTTAAAAATGTTGGATGCAGATTTTATATTACTGTATGTTGCATGTTTACATATTTACATGTATGTAAAGAGCTTCTCTTCAGAGTGATTCATTTCCTATTTCTGTTTTGAATGTCTGTTAAAGGTATGTTTCAGCCATGACAACCCCAACTCGTATATCTCCAGTGGAGCTGCCTTGCCCAGCATCCCCAAAATCGCCCCCCTCTGAAATGTCCGCACCCCTGTCAAGTCTGGCCATGTCAGTCCCCTCAGTCGCTGTCAGCCCTCAAGGGGAAGAGGAATGTCCCCTGCTGTTCACCACTCCCCCTCGGTTACGGGATAAACAGCGTCAGGACCACGCCTACTCCAATGGCAACCAATACCAACGCAGTTCTGCCCACTACAACCACGGTCTCGAGGCTAACAGCACTCCGCCCAGCCCCCAGAGGACAGCGGAGGACGACGATTACGAGACGACACCAGAATACGAGACGACCGTGCCTCAGGCTTCAAAGAAGGTCACCGGCAGCCGCAGGGCCTCGAGAGCCAAGGTCAATGGCCACGTGGCCCACAAGCCAGAGTCCAAAAGTGACAGCAGCTCTGAGAGCAGCAGCTCGGAGAGCGAAACTGAAGATGAGCGAGTTGGTGAGGACACGCCCTTCCTCAGCATACAAAACCCACTGGCTGTCAGCCTCGAGTCGGCCACTTCCTGTAGGCCTAGCGACAGCAGCAGGACTAACCCGGCGCTCCGGCTGTCTGCCCAAGAGGATCTGCAAGCCAGGTTATCGAGTGTAATAGTGAATCAAGATCCCATTGCTGTATAAAGTGAAAATAATATTTACCGAAAAAAAAAAGAAAAAAAAAAAAACTTAGGTCCAAAATAAAGATCAGAGTCACCACAAAACCTTTATTTTATATAAATTAAGTATTTGAGGGAAATAATTTAAAGATAATAAAACTTTTATTTTAGCGAAGTAGTAGTGAATAAAGTCTTTTATAAATTAAAAAAATGTGTGCAAAATGTGTTCGTGTCATGGAAGAAAGTGCCATACACTCGTATGTAGCGAAGGTCACAGTATTTCAATGGAGAAATTATCAATGGTGCCTTTGTTTTCAGTTCTGTGAAAATTAAAATTAACTGCATTATGACACTGGGCCATATATTCAAGAACTTCATCAAGCAAAAGATTTCCTTTATTTAATGTGACGTGACATTCAGCCAGCAAAATTAATTTAGCTTCACAATGACCACATAGAGGTTATATCCATAGCTGTATAATAACCATAATTATTGACAATATTTTTGATTTATGTTAATGCAAAAAAAACCATAAGGAGTAGCAAATTATAGGGCATGTGCAGGTGTAAAAAGCATTTTCACAGAATACTGAAGAAGAGCAAAACATATATATTTAAGAAATAAAGAGAAGAGCATTAGACACAAATGTGCAATAAGGCTTAGTGTGTTCTCCGTCACATCAAACATCAACACTAATTGTCGAGCTTCTATGCAATTTTTATGATCACTCAAGGTAAAAAAGAAAACTTACTGAACAGGAGAGTAAGTAACGGAATAGCATGTGAATAGTGTACGTAACTGCAAATTAGCGACGACCCAATGGCACACAAGCCAATTAATCGCAAGACGTTAAATTGCTTTGTTTAACATGATGATCCTCTTAAATATCAAAGAATGTATCATGCAAACTATTTCAGTCAGTTTACATTAAGGCTGTAAATCATAATTATTATTTTTTTTCAATTGACCCATAATTTTAATTGGCATCACGTAATTAATGTGATTTTTTTGTCTCTGTCATTTTTATCATTTAATGGGTTTTTTTTTTTAGTACAATATCGTTTTGAATATGTATGATGCTTTGAATATATGGCTCAACTACAAAGTGTTGCCACACATCTATTGGCCATTAATGCATTCTGGGAATTATTACCGCACCATTTATTTAAAATGTATATGTAGATAAGAAAAAACTGTTTTTTTTTCTTTTTTTAGAAGTTTATTGCCATAAAATTTAAATATTATGTTTGCATTGTTTAACATCATGTGAAATATTACATTATTCAAAGTGTTACTTTGTATTTTTTATTCTTTTGTTCTTTGCAATAGCTTTATATGTATAAATTGTATTCTGTATAATATGTTACTTTTTAATACTATAACCTTTTTGTTACATTCTGAAGTTAGGTTCAACATTCAGTACACAGCCCATGTTGTATGGAGTGATCCTACATACACGGACCAATGTTGCCCCCTGTACAGAAACACCATGGTTCCTCGAAAAGAAATAAATGAATAGAACTAAATTACATATTTGTCTTTGGCTATGTAACTCTTTAGGCTTGAGGACACTGCAGTGTTTTGTCTGTTTTTGTTTGTGTATTTCTTTTTTTTTTGCAGACCAGCTTATCACTTGTCCAGTGTACACAGGCCCTTCAGGACAGCAGAAAGGTGTTACCAAAAACTTAGCTTTGATCAATTCTAATATACTCTTCGTAAAGCAGGTCCACTGAAGAAACGTTATTTATATATTATTTATTTATTTATTTGTGTATTTATTTGTTTATTTGGGCCTTGTCTAACCAGATGATTAGAGATTCTATATTTTATTCAGCGTTATTTTCTGAACATCTGATTTTTTTTTTTTTAGTTTGCATTGTGGTTTGCAATTCCTTCACATTTTTTTCTATATGGAATTTTTCCCATATTTTTCCCATTGATAATATTCTGTTAATAAATATAATTAAGATGCACATTCTTCATACTTTTTATTTTGTATTTTGGGTCTGACCATTAGTGTTCAGCTGTATGACTAGAAAAAATGCCTGAGTCTGCGACAATTTTGCATGTCCACAAGTCAGCTTTGAGTTGCACAAGAGGAATGCGTGCATGATCAAGGATGACGAAATGATCCATCAGTATGATGACGGCTATGTTAACAACCGGGAGTCTTCCTGTCCCGCTCTGCATCCTCATTAAAGATGTGCCTCTTCCAGATTCAGTTGTGTGGAATATAACTGGAGACCATTCTGACCAACCTACACCTTGTTTCAAAGATGTTATAAACAGGGTTTAAAGTAAGGTTTAAAGTTCAGTTCTGTTTTCAGCAGCACACATGTTGACCTTTCAGTTGGGAAGTCACACTGTCCCTTTCTGAACTTTTCCACACACTCATATTGCTACTAATCACTCCCTCCTCAGTTCAGCTTCTGAAGTCTTCTAGAATCCAGATGTTAATCTTTACAAGAAATAAATCACATTCATTATTTTACTACCACTTGACACCAGAAATAAAACGTATGATAATCTGGGACAGTTGATGAATTGTTTCACGTTAGCAGTGTTTGTTCCTTTATTACACAACTGATTACAGTCTAACATTAGCACAACATCCTGGTCATCCAAAGACCTATTTTTTGTTTTTAAAAAGTGCAGTCCAAATTATCATAAACTAATATGATGACATTTAAATGATGACATAAGCTGCTTGAGCACATTAATATCTTAAACAGACCTGTAAATGCGTACAGTTTTGATACATATTTAAAATATTATATATATTATATAACATCCTATTCTTTAATTACTTTTATGTATAGCTTGTTATTGGGGCGGCATGGTGGTGCAGTGGTTAGCACTGTTGCCTTACATCTCTGGGACCTGGGTTCAAGTCTCATGTTCCTCCAGGTACTCCGGTTTCCCCCACAGTCCAAAGACATGCTGAGGCTAATTGGAGTTGCTAAATTGCCCTTAGGTGTGCATGTATGAGTGAATGGTGTGTGCATGTGCCCTGTGGTGGGCTGGCCCCCCATCCAGGGTTATTCTCTGCCTCGTGCCCATTGCTTCCAGGATAGGCCAGTAGGATAAGCAGGCTGGACAATGGATGGATATAGCTTGTTATCATCTCTTAGATTACCAGTATCTTTTTAATCCTTTTCAACAATTTTTTTCAAAATATAAACTCATTGTAGGCTGCATAAAATCAGATTCAGTTCACCATCAATTTCTGTCTTCTTGTAAAATAATTGTAAACCTCAGTAACTTCTCTGTGTTTAACACATTGCTTTTGCGCTCAATTTTATTCAGTATTGGGTCCAGAGATGACACCAGAATTGATTACACACTGTAACTCTGTTTACAATCAGAGGTTGTTGGGCAACATTTCAACCCATAAACAAATATTTCATTTTGATGTATGGCAAATTCAGGAGAACCACCACCAGGAATAAAGTTCACCGCCAGTTCGCTTTAACCCTGCTTCCTTGATGACAAGATTATGGACTAGATACATCAAACTACAAGATGGTAGATTCTGTTGGTTGAGTGAGTTGACATTATCAGCCAACATGGGACTATTATGACTTTTAACATTGCAGTTTAATTGCTATTTTACCATTGTTTTATGCTTTGTTTTCAACTACAAGCATGCTGCTCACACTGTCTGCTGATTCAGAATAAACTGACCTGTTTCACGAAGGGTAGGTAAAAGAAAAAAAATTGAAAAATCTGCCAGGATTGTCGCTCACCTGTTCTCAGCCTGCATCTGGCTCTCCCACCTACAACACTTCTGTTGGTCAAAGCAAAAGCTACTGTAAGTTGCTGGGTAAAAACACCAAAGTGAAGACAATAATCTTGGATGAAAACTGAGATATTAAAAAAGTAAGAAATGCTGAAACCAGCGAGACCTTGTGTCAGTTAGCTTGTTCTAACCTGACATTTTCATTATATTGTGGGGGTTGCGGATGGGCTAAAGAGGGAATACTGCAGACATCCAACAGGGCTGATGGAAGCTTCTGATGCCTCCTCAAGTTCTGCTTTACAAAGGTGCATCATCAATCCGTTGACGGTTTGCACAGAATGGAAACCACATCCAAACCAAAAAAATCTGAGGTTAAAATATATATTTAAGTATATATATGTAATGAAACTTCCTTGTAATTCTCCCACATGGTAATGTTTAATCCTGTACCGGATATTCACAATTCACCAAGACATTCATAGCTGACTCTGACACCCTCATTCCCCACCCCGACTGGACACGACTTCTGGCAGCTCTTCAAAGCATTTCCTTTGTAAAAGTAGTAAAAAGGTTGAAGACCACTTCACTAAATCACTCGTTTTTGGCAATATTTTTAGAATTCAATGATAGTAAATTTTTACTGAGTGTAGATGTAATACACTGCGCTCAAAGCTAGAAGTACACTTCCTCCCTGAATTTGAACCTTGCAACTCAAGGTCAAGGATGAAGCAATTATTTGCTGTCGTCCATGTACGGCTGTTCCTCATTTAACACGCTAGTTGGTAATTAACAGCGAGTCAGTGAATTCCTCTGGCTTTGCACAACATGAGTCGCGTCAAGTGCTGGACAAAGATTACTCATACAAAGTTTTCACGCTGGTGTGTAATGCTCTCTTTATGATGCAAGATTTTCATAATAAGGACATTATTAATTCACAGTGTAAAATGGTGACAGTGTTGAAATTTCTGAAGCCACTCAGCCTTTTGTGCATTCACATTGAAAATGTACTCTATTGCTTTCGTCCTGAGAACAGCTTTACTTTTATGCAAATAAGTTTACCTCTTGTCATTCGAGACACTAGTCCAGGAGCCTAGAACATTCTGGTTGTCCTCCGTTTCCTTAGAAGTCGTGTCCCGTATCTGACAGCTTCCGTCTGGCTAACTGCATTCCAGACATGCTTTCCCACCGACATAATCAGAGGCTGCTTTCAGTCACGCTGCTGTTGCACATAACAAACTGACCGATGTAAGATAACTGCGACTCAGGACCCAGGTAAAGAATCTCCACAGAGATGATGAGGGCTAGCCAACAACAAGATCCTTTTCTAAGGGGTTTACATCACTACCCCAACTTGCAGAACATTCTTGATCCAGTGTAACTGATTACAGTGTAATACATTTGGGTTACATTTTACATTTAGATTTCTTAACAGACTAAAACTTACATTTTTGAGAAAGTAAGGTCAGACAAGCTGTGTGTTTATTACTATCTCCTGGCATTGATTCACTGTTCGCTTATTATGGTTTGTTTTTCATTCACTTATTTAGCAGATATTTTTTCCAAAGAAACATACCAGGATCAGACAGTCCCTGGGTCTCACTCAAGTGGCGAGTGTACACAGTTGACCCTGGGACTTGAACTAATGACCTTCTGACCAGAGGAATGACATCATGACCGGCTGAGCTGCACACTACCCCAGATCGCATATTACAGGATAACTCATGTGGGGAGGAATGAAGTCACGATGCTGCTTAAGAAATTTTTAAATACCTCTTGGGGACAGGAAAAATTTCTGATTAACCCTGACACACATTTGCACGGTTGAGTGGAAGATTAAATGCGAGGAATTTAACCCCAGGTGGAAAAGGAGTCATAGTGACCTGTTGACTAAATTCTCAGCAGAATTTCAGCTGATGGGCAGATGAACTCGTGACCCAAAAACAACAGATTCCAGGGAAATAATCCAAATGGTGTATTTACTCTGGGGAATATAAGTTCATAATGGACAGTTCACCTATTAATGATATTGAAGAATAATACGCACTCTAGACTTCCACTGACTGACAGATCATGGTTAATGATGTCATAAAGACAGAATCTCGTCAACTGAGCCATAGTTTTGATAAGACCTGCTGTCCCTGACAACAGGTGTTGGATTATATCTAGAATGCTATGAAAATCAGATGGACCAGTTAACCCACCAAGCTCATCACTTCCTTCTCCAGAGGCACTTTCACTTGACGGTAATTGACAGTATTGCTCTGGAACACAGTTTCGAAAATTCGAAATAAAAAATACGGAAAAGGGGGAATCTCATTCATAAATATTCTACAAACAGAAATATTAACACATTATGCATATCTGAGTGAAGAGGCTGCCTCTCTTGAAACAGACAGGTCTGTAACTGAGTGCTAAAGATTTTTACAGCGTAATACATCTTTACAAGGTGGGTCAATGTCTGAGGTTGATCTGACTCAACTTCAGCTGTTAGTGTGATTCACAGATAGTTTAAGATCCATGGCAATGAGAGTATGAGCCTGAAAATTTGTTACATCACCAGATTACAATGGGTAACTAAGCTATCTTTCTACTGACATACCCTTAACCTAACTGCCATTAATTCACCCCTCCAGTCATTATTTGCATGAAAAACTTTGCTGTAAGGCAATACATATTTAGCTACAATTTTGTATTATATTTATTTTATCCCAAGCAACTCTTCTTTTTTTTCTTAGAAGGCAGGGTCAGGCAGTGCCTGGGGCAACTGAGGGTTAAGGGCCTTGCTCAAGGGTGACATCACTCTGCCGACCCTGGGATTTGGACCGATGACCTTCCAGTCACAGGCACAACTACCTGATGCTGTCCGAGGAACAAAAATTTTTCCCTGATATTAATCGTCTGATTTGAAAGCCAGCTGCTCCAGGGAGGTCTCCCGGCTCTTGGTCTCTGCTCTGCACTCTGCAAGGTCACCCTGCCATGCTTCTCTGAGACCTTTCAGCTGCTTTGGATGGGGCCAGTGATCCGCTACCTCTGCTCTCCCCGTGAGATGTGGGTCTGAAGAGCATATCCCTGAGCTGGCTGTCACCCTTCCAACTGTTCCGATAAGATGACATGCAAAGGGCCAGCCGGTCTCATCTCGACCTCAGGCGTTCGCCACCTGTCAACAGAAGCTTCCGGAATTGCCCATGTGGAGCTAACACACTCCCTACCATTGTACTCCCCACGGAAGGAATGGCAAGTGTCTCAGATCCACTGAAAAACCTCTTGCTGCCAAAATTAAACACTTGGATGTTTTGAATTCAACACAGTTGAACTCAACTATGAACTGTGTCACCTGCTGACATGCTAGAGGTGCGTCCTTACCAAACGTGATTGCATTGGTTTGATGCTCAAATAGCAAGATCAAATGACTTGGCAGTACTCAAAGCAAAAGGGTTACATGTGAGTGTCAGTCCTATATAAACAAATTCCATGATAT